TAAAGCAGGAGGGAGGAACCACCCTTCTCAATTATAAGGAGTTGTATATGGCTGCAGCCATCAAGACAGTGTGGTAATGGCAGGCAAATAGATGCAAAAATCAACGGAACAGATCAGAGTTCAGGGATAGACCTAAAAAAGTATGGCCAAAGTTTTTGTTTTGTTTTCTAAATTGAAATATAATTCACATACCATAAAATTCCCCTTTTCGGGATCCCTGGGTGGCGCAACGGTTTGGCGCCTGCCTTTGGCCCAGGGCACGATCCTGGAGACCCTGGATCGAATCCCACGTTGGGCTCCCGGTGCATGGAGCCTGCTTCTCCCTCTGCCTGTGTCTCTGCCTCTCTCTCTCTCTCTCTCTCTCTCTCTCTCTGTGACTATCATAAATAAATAAATTAAAAAAAGTGAGGCATTTCCTCGCCTCACATTTAAAAAAATAAAATAAAATAAAATAAAATTCCCCTTTTCAAGTGTACTCTTAGGTGATGTTTGGAATATTGACAAGATTTTTAAATATTCACAAGATTGCAACCATCTCCACTATCTAAACCAGAATATATTTTCATCACCCTCCAAAAAGACTTCCTCCCCATTAGCAGTCACTCCCCATTCCTGTCTTCTCCCAACTCTGGACAACCACTAATCCACTTTCTATCTCTTATGAATTTGCCTAGTCTGACATTTCACATTAAAAAAAAAATCATATGGTATGTGACATTTGCATCTGACTTCTTTCACTTAGCATGTTTTCAAGGTTCATCCATATCATTACATCAGGGCCTCATTCCCTTTTTATAGATAAATGATATAAATGAGAAATCACAGAGACTAGAGATGTGCTCTGGGTGCTCTGGGTGGGCAATGTAACATTTCTCTATGGATGCTTTCCAGTGTTCTTCTTTTCCCTTTAGTGTCCAAAAATTTGATTATGATGCTTCTGGGCATGGATTTCTTTGAATTTATTCTGGTTGGGCTCACTCGGCTTCTTAAATCTGTACATTATCTTTTCCCCAAAATTTGTGAAGCCTTCTGTCATTATTTATTGTAATTTTTTTCAGCCCTGTGCTCTTTCTCCTCCTAAAAGTTAGAAGCACTATTATTGTCTTACAGCTCCCTCATACTCAATTCATAGATTTTTAATTAAAAAGTTTTCATTGTGGAGAAAAAACCAAGTATACAATTTACCATCTGGATGATTTCTTTTCTTTTCTTTTCTTTTCTTTTCTTTTTTTTGAACCATTTTTAAGTGTACAGTTGGGTAGTGTTAAGTGTATTTATATCATTAGGAATCAATGTCCAGAACTTTTCATTTGGCAAAATTGAAACTCTATACCCATTAAACAATAACTGCCTATTTCCCATCCCACTCCCTCCCAGCTCCTGGCACTGACCATTCCACTTTCAATAGCTAAGATTTTGACTATTCTAAGTGGAATCCACAGTATTTGTCTTTTCATGACTGGCTTATTTCACTTAGCATACTGTCCTCAAGGTCTAGCCATGCTGTAACATGTGTCAGAATTTCCTTCTTTTTAAAGGAAAAATAATATTCTACAGTACATATATACCACATTTTAAAATCCATTCATCTGTTCATGGACACTTGGGTTGCTTCCTCCTCTTGGCCATTGTGAATAATGCTGATATAAAAATAGATGGACAAATATCTCTTCAAGATCTCACTTTCATTCTTTGGGATATATATACCCAAAAGTAGAATTGCTAGATCATATGGCAATTCTACTTTTAATCTTTTGAGGAACCACCAAGCTATTTTCCACAGTGGGCACACCATTTTACATTCTTTTGTGTCTAGCTTTATTCCACATTGGGTTTGTGATTCATCCATGTTGTTGCCAGGGGTGATGCTTTGTTTATTCTCATTACTGTGTAGTACTCCATTTGTCAAATATTTCACAATTTATTTATCCATTCTACTGTAGACATTTGGGTTGTTTCCAGGTTTGGGCTATTAAAGACTGCTACTATGGATCTGTGCTGCATGTCTATAGTGAACATACATATGTACTTCAGCCAAGTTAAATTCCTAGGAGTAGAATTTCTAGATTATTTATATGTATGTGCATTCTCTCATCTATCTATAAATATGTAAAATCTCCACATGATTTTGAAAAGATAATATCAAACAGTTTTCAAAGTGGTTGTATGAACTTGCTCTCCTATCAGCAGCGTATAAGAATTCTGGCTACTTGGGGATCCCTGGGTGGCGCAGCGGTTTGGCGCCTGCCTTTGGCCCAGGGCGTGATCCTGGAGACCCGGGATCGAGTCCCATGTCGGGCTCCTGGTGCATGGAGCCTGCTTCTCCCTCTGCCTGTGTCTCTGCCTCTCTCTCTGTGTGACTATCATAAATAAATAAAGTATTTATAAAAAAAAAAAAGAATTCTGGCTACTTTACATCTTTGCCAGCATTTGGTATTGTCTATCTTTTTAATTTAAATGATTCTGGTGGTTACAGTAAAATTATGATTTTCTTTTTAAGATTTTATTTATTTATTTTAGAGAGAGGGCCTGAGTAGAGGTAGGGAGAGGGGCAAGCAGACTCATTGTCACAATGACAATGTTGGGCTCAATCCCATGTCCTGAGCTGAAATTAAGGGCCAGATGCTCTACCAACTGGTCCACCCATGTACCCCAGTAAAATTAATGGTTTTAATTTGAAATTTCCTGATGACTAGTGAAATTAGTACAGACCTTGTCAAACATATATTGGCTATATGGGCATTGCCTTTTGTGAAGTGCCTACTGCAGGTTTTGCCCATTTTTCCAGTAAGGTTGTCTGCTTCTTTATAAGTTCTAGATAGGAGCCTTAGTATAATAAATATATTATATATGTATGTATTTTAGTATCTTCTCCCTTTCTGTGGCTTTCCTTTTCATTCTCTAGTGGTGTCTTTTGAAGAACAGATGTTCTTACTCTTGGTAAAGTCCAATTTCTCATTTTATGTGCTTTCAATTTCCCTTTCAGTACTTTCCATAACCTCTTTAAAAAAAATCTTACCTAACTCAAAGTCATAAAGATATTGGGTTTTTTCTAAAACTTCATTGCTTACCTTCCATACTTAGTTTTTCAGTCCATCTGGAATCAGTTATTGTGTGTGTTGTGAGGTTTGGGTCAATACACATTTTTTTCCTAATACAACTTTTCAAATGACTATTTTTTGAAGACCATTCTTTTCCCATGGCACATTGTATTTATCCTCACCATTTGTAATAGCTATAAAGCCTTCCATTCTAAGGTACTCCCGTAACTTATCTACCCATTCTTCCATGGGATTTTTGGGTTATTTTCTGACCTCTACTATCATCAAACAGGGTAAACATCTTTGTATGGATATCAAGGCATTCTTCTGCAATTTTTTTAATTAATTAATTTATTTATTTATGATAGTCATCAGAGAGAGAGAGAGAGAGAGAGAGAGAGGTAGAGACACAGGCAGAGGGAGAAGCAGGCTCCATGCACCGGGAGCTCGACGTGGGATTCGATCCCAAGTCTCCAGGATCGCACCCTGGGCCAAAGGCAGGCGCCAAACCGCTGCGCCACCCAGGGATCCCTCTTCTGCAATTTTTAAAACAAAAGTGGAACTTCTGAGCCAGAAAATATTTACTTCTTGGGTTTTTGTTGTTGTTGTTTTTAAATACAACACACACACACAAAGAGAGAGGCAGAGACATAGTCAGAGAGAGAAGCAGGCTCCATGGAAGGAGCTGGATGTGGGACTCTATCCTGGGACTCCAGGATCACGCTCTGGGCTGAAGGCAGATACTCAACTGCTGAGCCACCCAGGCATCTCAGTATTTGCCTTTTTGAAAAAATAATAAATGACATGGTTCAAAAATCAGAGAATGCAAAAGGGCCAGTGAAAAATTTACCTCCTATCCTGTACCCAATCCTTCTAGGCCCTCCACCAGGTGATTGCAATCATGAAATCTGGAGTATCTTTGCAGATATCTTGTAATGGATGAATAGGCATTATTTAGACTTTTTCTTCTTTTCTATACACAGGTAGGGGCACACCGTATGCTCTGTTCTGCATCTTGCCTTTTTAACTAAATATATCTTAGAAGTCTTATTACTGCACATAAAAAAAGCATCCTCATTAATTTTTAAAGCCATATATTCCATTGGATGGGTATACCACCATTTAGGCAGTCTTCTGCTGATGGACATCTGTGGTGTTTCCAATTTTTTGCCTTCGACACAAGGCTGCAATAAGTAACTTTGCGTATGTCATCTCAGGTGTGTGCAGTGTATCTGTTGGGGGAATTTCTACAAGTAGACTTGCTGAGTCCAAGGGGATATGCATCTGTAACTTGATCAGCATTTCCCAGTCACACTCCTCTACCAGCAATGTATAAAAGCTCATGTTTTCCCATAGCCTGGTTAATAGACTTGGAGCTAGGATCTTTAGTCATTTGTTAGGTGGAAAATTGGAGATTATGTTGCATTTATGTTGTAAGATTGAGCATCTTTTCAGGGGTTTAAGACCAACTTGTGTTTTTTGTCAACATCCTTCGATGGTATGCACTTCCTTAGAATCACTCGTGCAAATTCCTCCAAATGTTTCCTCATGAGAAGCCTTAGACATGGAACTTTCCGATCAGAGTTTGAACTTTTTAAAAGATGTCTCTACGTGTGGCCAACTAACCTTCCAGAAGGGAGGTCCCACTAACGCTTCTTTCACAACGTGGCCCTGGAGTGGGCTCCCAGCATCACTGGCTGCAGCGTGTCCTTGGAACTGGCAAGGCCAGCTCCAGGTGGAGAGCTTCCCCTGCAGTACAGAGCTGGCCCCGCCTCTCCGGGAGGCTCCGCCCCGTCGTCAGGAGGCCCCGCCCCAGAGGTGCAGCCCCGCCCACTTACGATGCGTCCTATTGCGATCGCGCGGCCCCGCCCCGCACAACTGGCCGCGAAGCCCCGCCCCGGGCTGCGCGGCCCCGCCCCCGCTGCGTGTCCCGCGCCGCTGGTCACGTGACGTCTGGGAGGCGCGAGGAGGGGGCCCCGGGCGCCATCGCTCCTCCGCGCCCGCGCCGGCGCCCTCCGCGCACGATGGCTGCCCCCGAGTGAGGTGCGCTGCGGCCTGGCCTGGGCGGGGCGTGCCCCCAGCTGCTGTCTGCTCCCCGGCCGGGGCCGGGAGGCAGCCCGTTGCTAGGCAGCCGCGTGGCCGGCGGGGCGGGGCGGGCGGGGCCTGCGGGCCGCGGGCATGGACCAGTACTGCATCCTGGGCCGCATCGGGGAGGGCGCGCACGGCATCGTCTTCAAGGCCAAGCACGTGGAGGTGAGCTGGGCCGCTTCCGGCAGCTGCCAGCCCGGAGACCCCGCCCCGCCCCCGCTTTCCGGGCCGGCGTCTGCTCCGCTGTTGCCTCCTCCCGCCCCGCTTCGGGCTCTGCGCCCACCACTTTGGCCCCTTGAGTGGGGGCCGGCCCGGGCGCGGTCGGCCGCCCAGCCACCCACGCGGGCCCCGGGGAGTCAAAGCCTCGGAGCTGTTAGCGCTGCGCTGCCATCAGCTGGGGCCCGGGCTGGACCTCACGTCCCTCCCGGACCGGGTGGGGGCGTTTCCCACCCCCGCGACGGCGCCCGCCCGGTCGGCGCACCCGCTTCTCCAGCCGGGGATGGACTGCAGTGTCCCGTTCTGTCCGGCCCAGACCGGGGAGATCGTGGCCCTCAAGAAGGTGGCCCTGCGGCGGCTGGAGGATGGCATCCCCAACCAGGCCCTGCGGGAGATCAAGGCGCTTCAGGAGATCGAGGACAATCAGCACGTGAGTGGCGCTGGGCTCTGGCCCTGGGCTGCGAAGGGCTCCGCCTGCGCCGCTGCCTCCCTCCCTCTCTTGTCCACCTCATCCCCCCACTTAATGTCATTCCGCGTTCCTTTCTTTAGTCACTGACTTCTTTATATAAAACATTTGGTAATTTGTAATGATAATAACAGCCTCTGTTGAGCTTCTGTTCTGCAGGCTGGGTTACCTGTGTTAGGTTGGGTGTCATTCTGACCTCTCTGCTCTCCGAAAGGCCCATCTCAGGATCTCGCATTCTCAGGCCAGGGGAGGAGGCTCATCCACCTGTTGTGGACGCGCAGCGGTCTGTGGAGGCTTTGGCCCGGTTCTGCTGGGAGGAGTCAGGTGTTCTAGCCTGGGGTCCGCCCATAGGCCCTACCTCGTCTGGGCATGGGTCCCCTTTGGGCTCCTGGGGGAGATGCGCAGCGATGGCAGGGCCCATGTGGCCTGGTTGTGCTGTGATGGGGCTGGAGGCACTGTGGGCACCGGGGAGGGACTCATACATCCCCAGCCTCATTACTCTTCCTGGGGCTTTTTCTTGTTCCTGGGGAGTGACAACCCTGTCCTGCTCCTACTTGTTTATTATCCTCTGGAGATGTCCATGATGTATGTATCATATATGACAAAAGCATGTTGTAAAACTTTTTATAAAACACATCTAAAAGGTATGTCCTTCTAGTTTTGTATAAAAATGTGTATATAGATCTGAATAGGTGTTTGTATCTGCTGTATCTATTGTGAAGTGGGATAGAAAGTACTTATAAGGTGGATTGTAGGCGATAGGATTTTTCTGTTTTTTTTTTTTCTTTATAATTTATTATCTGGATGTATGTGTGCAATCTGCGGAATGATTGTGTGCTACTTTCAAAGCGTGACAACCAGCAGTAAGGCTATTTGCATTTTCTTGAGGAAAGTTCCAGGGCTTGTAGACCACACATGTGGGAGGGGTGGAGGGTCCGTCAGAAGGCAGCTTGCATTAGCAGCCCTGCAGGTTCTACCGTAAAACTGCCCACAGTTGAGCCCCGGTCACCAGAGCTGCCTCCTCACTGTGCCGCCCTCCCCACTGTCAGTGTTGGTGGAATCCATCCCTGCATGGAAAGAGAACCCCAGCCCCTCTCTTCATTCATTCCACGTAACTTGTGGAATGTCTCCTGTGATGAGCACCGTCCGGGCCACAGCACAGAGCAGAGCAGATGTCCTTCCCCTAAAGGATCCTACGTGTTCTTGTCCCTCCAGCCTCCTGTTCCCACCTCAGGCTTTGTGCTTGTCTCTCTTGCCTCTGCTCTGACCCCACCCCTTCTATTCTCTCTCTGCCCTCAGAACCAGGATAGACTGGGTGGGGAGGGGAGGTTACTTTGCTTGCTTACATGTCAGCTGTCTGTGTCCCTGTGCTGTGAGCTCCTTCTGGCCCTCAGGACCTGCCAGGCCTGGCTCCTACTCCCCGCTGTGCCACCTGGTCCCTGCCACCCGTGGGCCCTCGGGATGTATATGGGATGTGGCTCTGGATGGCCCTAGGTAGAGGAAACCGCAGGAGCCCTGTGCCGTGCATGTGTGTGTGTGTGTGTGTGTGTGTGTGTGTGCATGTGCGTGTATTAGAGAGACAGACACCCTGGGTGATTTTCCAGTTCCTGGCCTGGGGAGCACCGGACACTGCCCTGGTGCCCTTCCTACAGCCTCCTCCTCTGAGTGAGTGCAGCATTGGGTGGGGACCTGCTTTCTCTCCAGAGAGGGGAGCACCTAGGGAGCCCTGAACTCTCTTCTGACCTCAGATCTCACATCACTTCACCTGCTGTGTCCTGTGTCAGGGCTGGGGGTCCCCGAGAGGGTCCGGGCCATGTGGGTCCGGGGCTGACAAGATGCCTGGCTTGCAGGTGGTGCAGCTGAAGGCTGTGTTCCCTCACGGTGCAGGCTTTGTGCTGGCCTTCGAGTTCATGCTGTCGGATCTGGCTGAGGTGGTGCGCCACGCCCAGAGGCCACTGGTCCAGGCGCAGGTCAAGAGCTACCTGCAGATGCTGCTCAAGGGTGTCGCATTCTGTCATGCCAACAACATCGTGCATCGGGTCAGTCTCCGTGCCTGCTGCGGTGGGACCTGCAGGCCCAGCCCTTGAAGAAGACATGGTTGGAGGGGGTTGGGGGGACAGGACCTGTGGGTTGGCCATACCACAGAGTAAGTGGTCGTGGAGAGGGTGGGGGCCTGGGCTGACCCGTGCTTAGCCTGCCAGGCCCTCCTGCCCCAAGGCCCTCTGGGGGATCTGGAGGAACTGATGCCTCCGTTGGTGTGCTCAGGACCTGAAACCAGCCAACCTGCTCATCAGTGCCTCAGGCCAGCTCAAGATAGCAGACTTTGGCCTGGCCCGGGTCTTTTCCCCAGATGGCAGCCGTCTCTACACGCACCAGGTGGCCACCAGGTAGGGAGGGCTGATTCCCAGGCAGGACGTGGCAATGGACGGGCCCCGGCCTCCTCATTGGAGATGAGAGGCTTCTGGACCTTCAGTTCAGATCTTCCTAATCAGGCTGTTGTGGGGCTGGGTGACTGTTCCAGACAGCCTCTGGCAGGCCAGCGCTTGGTTGTAACTGCCTGCCTTCCTCCTCACAGGTGGTATCGAGCCCCTGAGCTGCTGTATGGCGCCCGCCAGTATGACCAGGGTGTCGACCTATGGTGAGCTGGGTGGGGATCAAGTGTGATCAGATGGGAAGCTCCTGGGCTGGGGTCGGGGGTGGTCTGAGGCTCAAGGCCTGTGGATCCTCTACGCAGGTGACAGGGATGGCTATCCCAGGATGGGAGCTGTCCAGAGGCCTGACCTTTATTCGGGGGCGGATGGTGTGGACATGCCTAGGAGCTTGAGATTTAGCAGGTGTTTGAGAAGTGTGCCTCAGAAGGTGAGGCGGCAGCTCTGTGTCCCAGAAATTGAGGCTCTGGGGAGTCTCAGAACTGTTGAGGGTGTTGCTCTGTGTTCTAGGCTTGAGGAGAGTGAGCTCATCGGGAGGGGGATGTGTTTTGTGTTATAGGCTTGTGGTGTGTGTTTATAAGTCTGTTTCTAGACATGAAACATCTGTGCTGTTTTGTGGTTCCTTGGCCCTAGGATAGGATGTGGGTGCTGTGTGTCCTGGTGTGAGGTGACCGAGCTGGTGTGGGCGGGCCCGTGTCCGGGTGTGTGGTGACCGAGCTGGCGTGGGCGGGCCCGTGTCTGGGTGTGTGGTGACCGAGCTGGCGTGGGCGAGCCTGTGTCCGGGTATGTGGTGACTGAGCTGGTGTGGGTGGGCCCGTGTCCGGGTGTGAGGTGACCGAGCTCCTGAGTCTGTATCCACAGGGCTGTGGGCTGCATCCTGGGGGAATTGCTGAACGGGTCGCCTCTGTTTCCTGGGGAGAATGATATCGAACAGCTCTGCTGCGTGCTTCGGATCTTGGGCACCCCTAGCCCTCAAGTCTGGCCGGTTTGCAGGAGTTCCTGGTGGGGAAGGGTGGGGGCAGGTGTCCTCCCTTCCCCTGACAGCCAGGACTGCCTGTCCCCACACTCTTCCTCCTGGCCCCATGCCTCCTTGGCCCCACATACCCCTGGCCTGTCCCTGTGTCCCCAGCACACTCGCACTTCTCACACCAGTGTTGGCGCAGGGGCCTGAGTCCAGGAGGGGGTGTGGGACCTCAGGAATCTTGGGTGAGGGTGGGCAGGCGGCTGCCATAAGCTGGTGATGGTGGTTCTAGGAGATCACGGAGCTGCCCGATTACAACAAGATCTCCTTCAAGGAGCAGGCGCCTGTGCCCCTGGAGGAGGTGCTGCCCGATGCGTCTCCCCAGGCCTTGGACCTGCTGGGGCGGTTCCTCCTCTACCCCCCACACCAGCGCATTTCTGCCTCCCAGGTACTGGTACTTGCTTCCCCCGAGCCTCCTCACTTGGGGCCCTGGAAGCCAAGGGGGGAGGCCCCTTAGGACCATGGGGTCATGGGCAGGCCAGGGGCACTGCCCACCTTGCAGAAGAGCACATTGGGTTACCAGTGACTGGCTCCCTCATCCCTTCAACTGCTGCTGCTCCACCTCTGTATACACCTGTGTCGTCTTGAGGCCTTGGGCGGAGGATTGGGCTTGACTTTGGGGAGCCGAGATGTAAGCACCAGAGGTGTTTTTCAAAGAGAAATGATGAGCAGAGGTCTGGCAGGGGACCTGGAAGGGTAGGTTGTGTGGCAGGGAAGGAGGGGAAGATCATGGGCTGACAGCCAGTAGTGCAGGGGGCCTCGTTCTCCAGTGTACCCATGTCCCCACCCCGCCCTCAGCACCCGCATAGCCAGGGTGTGTTCTGTCGTCATCAGTCCCTCTAACGTGGGTGGAGGCCATTTAAGTGCTTCCTTCAGTGAGCCCAGCACCCCCCCACCCACCCCGCATGGCCTCCTGCCCGTTCAGGGTGCCCTCCGCCTGGCAGGCTGCACATACCCCCTGTGCGGTTGTCCTGGGGCACCCTCTCAGCAGAGGCCCAGGTTCTAGGGGTCCGCAGGGGTCACACACTTCTGTGGCCCTGCCACCTCCTGCCCCATGCTCATTCATTCCCCTGGGCTTCAGGCCCTCCGTGTCCTTGGGCCTTGAGCACAGCTCTGCAGGCTGGCAGCCTCCCTGGTGTCCCACACCCTGAGCTGTCCCCGCTGCCGCAGCACTAGTCACGTGACACACCCTGTCTCTTTCCTCTTCATCTTGTTGGTCACCCGCACCCGGGACCCGCGGAAGACTTGAGGGCAGCTCTTGTTTGTCAGCCTCCAGAACATGCTCAGATGCTGAGCACTAGAGGGCTGTGGGCCAGTTGAGCAGACGTGCACATGTGGGAACAAGCATCTGTAGGAGGCTCAGCTCGCCCCTCAGAGGGAAGTGAGCTAGGGCTGGGACGGGGAGGTGACTGATTGCCTTCTGCTGTCTCTTGCTTGCTGCTGCCAGGCCCTCCTGCACCAGTACTTCTTCACAGCTCCCCTGCCTGCCCACCCCTCGGAGCTGCCGATTCCCCAGCGCCTAGGGGGACCTGCCCCCAAAGCCCACTCAGGGCCACCCCACGTCCATGACTTCCGTGTGGACCGGCCTCTCGAAGAGTCGCTGTTGAACCCAGAGCTGATTCGACCCTTCATTCCAGAGGGCTGAGACTCCGGGCCCCCCAGGTTTCTCAGTCTGCCTAGCTTGACACAACCTCCCATGGCCTCCACCCAGCCACGCTAGGTCTGCTCCATGTCCGGTCCGGCTCCAGCAGAGCAGACCCATAGCCTGCACCGTCGGCCTCCCCTGTGGGTGCTACGGACTCAGCCATTGGACGGAGACTGTACCTGCCACGGTACTGGTTCCCCAGGCCCTGCCTCCGGGGTCAGGGCCCATCCTGCTGGAGCCATCAGAGGAGCACAGCCTGTAAGATGTCCTCATACTGAAATGAGTGGGAGGGCAGGTTTGTTTTGTTTCTGTTCTCAGAGGCATTAAAAGCTAGTTCAGTTTTGAGATTTGTTATGAAAAGCCTGGGCAGTTTTGCCTAGTGTCTGCTCCTCTTCTATTCCTGTTGTGGGATGTGGGCACAGTGGCCTGGAATCCTGGCTGTATTCTCCTTAGTCACCTGGAAAGTGGCCCCGCTCAGGGCTATTCTGGTCCTGGGGGCTTCATGCAGTGGCATGTGCTCCTGTTTGGAGGTGAGGGGACAGAAGTCAAGCCCAGGGATGGCTCAGGTTGGGGGACTGATCAGGTTTGAGACGGTTTACAAACATCTCTACCCTGAGGATGAGGGTGAACCAGGACCAGAGGTGCCACCTGCTTAGATACAGAGCTTTCTTGCTCTGTGTCTAAGCTCTGTATCTAAGCAGCTCCTGTGTTAATTCGGTAACTCCAAATACAAGCCCAGTCAGCCCTGTTTGTTGTCTTATAAGATCAGATCAGCTGTTTCTACAATATTTACAGAAATAGAAGGGTTAAGAGGGCACAGAAGAGAAAAAAGAGGGAAAGACTCCATTAGACTTCAGGCTTCTTATATGGCTCAACCAACGATCGGGAGATTGGGACGGTGCCGCCTTGGGTCAAGAAGAGCTGACAACAGCAGGGCGACATAGCCATCTTATTCCTAAACCTCTTTTTGGTTTTTCACGTGGGTGGCTGAGGACTGAGGGCGGGTGACTGGCCATCCGAGCCCATGGGTAAAGGCACGACCCGGCGGCCTCCGCTGCAGCCTTCGGGGGTTGCGAGCCCGGGTCTCCAGCCGCAGCTTCCGTCCGCTGCGTGGATTCCAGCCTGTCCCCCCCACCTCGACCACTGCAGTACCAGGACTTGGGAGGGTGAAGGCTGCGGCCAGGCTCAGGGGAAGGAAGATCGGGGTCTCCGGTAGGGTGGATGGCAGGTGACAGCAGGCCTGAGGTTAGATGCGGGGCGAGGTTGATGCGGAGGGGCGGGGGCAGGACCAAACCTGGAGAGAGAGCCAAGTCACCGGCCCGGGTCAGGGCGAGGGCCGAGGTTGGCGGCCAGGCGCAAGTGAAGATAGGGGAGAAGCGGGCGGACCGACCACTGCCTAGGGCCGAGAGCTGCCTGGAAGTGGACCGACCCGGAGGAGCAGGAGTCTTGCGGGATGCGGAGACGCGGTCCGCCGGCCGGGGGCGGGGCGGGGCGGGGCGGCTTTGGTCGGCCGGGCAGATGTGCGGTAGGATGGGCGGGGCTTGCCTGAGTGGCGGAAGCACGGCGGGATGGGCGGTGCTCCGGCTGGGGGGGCGGAAGTGCGGTGGGGTGGGCGGGGTTTGGACGAGCGGAGCGGAAGTGCAGCGGGATGGGCGCGGTTTGGGTGAGTGGCGGAGGCACGGCGGGATGGGCGGGGTTGGTCAGCCGGGCGGAAGTGCGCTCGGATAGGCGGGGTTTGGGCGAGCGGAGCGGAAGCGCAGTGGGATGGGCGGGTTTGGGTGAGTGGCGGAAGCGCGGCGGAGTGGGCGGGGCTTGGCCGAGTGAAGCGGCGGTACCGTCGGGCGGGCGGGGCTTGGCCGGGTGGAGCGGCGGCGCGTAGAGGGCGTGGCGGGAAAGGCTGGGCGGCCGGGAAGATGGGAAGATGGAGCCGCAGCTTGGGCTCCACGAGCTGCTGCACGTTTTCTCCTTTTTGGAGGCCCGGGACCTGCTCCGCGCTGCCCAGGTGGACAAGGTAGCGCGCTGTGTCCCGGGCGGAGGCAGTGCTTTACAGTCCCTGCGTGTTCACGGCCGGCCCTTCCTCGGGCCTCAGTTTCCCCCGGGAGGCGGCGACGGCAGCCCCTCCTTGCTCGGTTCGCGGACAGCGAGCGCTCGGGCTTGGGCGCGGGGACCAGCTGGGGGAACGCGTCCCCTGCTGCTGCTGCTGCTCCTCCTGGAACGTCCTGGAGTCTCCGCCGCGGGGCCCGCGAGCGACCCCGGCAGTGTCCGCAGGGTTCAGTCAGCACGCCCACAGCGGGGGTCGGGCCCCGGCGGGCTAACGAGCGCGTGAGGTTCGGTCGGGGGCTGCGGAGCGTGTTTCCCCGGGGCTCCGCGCACGTGCGGGGAGCGGGGATCGCGGCTGGGGCCCAGCGCTGACCGTAGGACTGCTGGCGGACGGAGGGCTCTGACCCCCCCGCGGGAGGGGGCTGGGCCGGGAGCGCGCCCCCCCCCCCCCCGTAAGAAGCCGCGGCACAGCCGGGGTCCGTCTGCGGCGTGCGCCCCTGCGGTCGGCTCCGCGGTGACAGGTGCGGTGCCCCGGGAGCCCCCGCCCCGCCCCGCCCCGCCGGCGTCCTGGGCTGGCCCTCGTTAACTCACACGTTTTCACGTCCTTTACGGAAAGGTCCCTACGCAGGTTTTTACTTGAGTTCTCTGACCCGTTTAGAGTGTGTCACGTGAAACACCGGGTTTCTATTCCCTTTACTAGGGAGGACCCTGCGTGTTCCCGATGGTCCCCACCGGCTGGGGTTGGATCTGGCTGCTCGCACAGCTGCGGGCTGCCTGGGGCGGCGGACGGCGGGGAGCGGCGAGCACCGCGGGGAGTGTTCGTAGCTGGGGAAGAGGTCTCAGTTGGGTTTCGAACCGGGAGCTACAGAGAAGGAAAACGTGTTGAACTTCTTGCCTGACTTGGCTTGATTTTTGCAAAATAGACATTTCACATTCCTGCTAAAGATACCGAGGACCTTTGACCCAGCCAATGAGCACGGGCTGAGGAAGTGAAGTGGAAGTGGGGCCTGGGCTCAGGGGAGGGGGCTTCCTTCCGCCTTGTTTCAGGGATGAGGCCTTCCGTGGGGCGGGACCGCGGACAACCGCGCAGTGGTTCCCATCGAAGCTTCAGAATCCAGGCTGGAGAGGCCAGGGAGCACCAGGACGGGGCTGCCGTCCCCCCCCCCGCCCCCCCCCCCCCCCGGGACCGACCGGAGCCTCTCCGCAGTGCATGCGGGGGGGGGCAGTTAACGGAGCAGGGCTGACAGCAGCGCCCCAGCGCCCCCCAGGCCATGCGCGATTCTACCCCTGGGCATCTCCGTCCGTTCCTCCAGGCCCGTGCCTTCACCTCCTCCCTGCAGCAGCCTCTCTGGGACCTGTTGCTCTGCCCTGGCTTCCAGCTCTAACTTCTGACAGCTGCGGGCGATCTTCCTCCAACAGCTTAACCCTGCCCTCCGCCATCCCTGGTTCCCAAGTGGCTTCCCAGGTTTTAACAAAAGGACTTGGGGATTTGGGTCTAAGCAGATCTCCACTCCTTTCCCCAGAACCCAGCACTCCAATTATGGCAGAACACTCTCTCGTTCACATCTTTGCCCGAGTGTTCGGTCCTGGCTCTCCCCGGAACGCTTCAGCCTCTGGGGACTTTATCGGTAGTCACTTCTGAGCCCCTTGGTTCCACCGAACTGGTCATTTTCTCCTTTTCCATTCATTTGGTTGTTTTTATTGGATCGTGCAAATATGTTTGATTCCCAAGAATGAATTTTCTTGCCTGCAGACAGTGAGTCTGGTTTAGCTCTCCACCCCTTCAGTGCCTAGCAAGCGAGGCGCCAAGCAAGCCTGACCATTCTCTTCTCTGCCCTCTTGTTCTAGGTCTGGAATGAGGTTTCAAGGACCAAAGAACTGTGGAGGTGAGTGAAGGAAAAGCCAAACATGGTCAGGAGAGTGTTCCACAACGGTGAGGGGTGTCCTGGATAAGTGTTTTGAGCACTGCATTTCTGGCTTTGACGAGTACACAAGAAAGGACCATCCAAGCACCTAGCAGCAGGAAACCACCTCCCCCAGTCACAAGGCCTGTGATACTCTTTTTTAAATGGTATGTGGAAATGTAAGAGTTTTCTTAAATCACATGGGAGTTGGACATACAGCGGGAGTACCAGACTCGGGCAGAAATATATAGCAAATGAACACAGTTGGCTGACAGAAGGCAAGTCTATACACTGCTTTTTTTTTTTTTTTTTAAATTTTTTATTTATTTATGATAGTCACAGAGAGAGAGAGAAGCAGAGACATAAGCAGAGGGAGAAGCAGGCTCCATGCACCGGGAGCCTGACGTGGGATTCGATCCCGGGTCTCCAGGATTGCACCCTGGGCCAAAGGCAGGCGCTAAACCACTGCGCCACCCAGGGATCCCCTATACACTGCTTTTATTTGAACTCATCTTTGGTGTAACAACATAGCTGTATAAGCACAAACGATATTAGAATAAAATAAAACAAGGGGCAGTTGGGTGGCTCAGTCAGTGAAGTGTCTGCCTTTGGCTCAGGTCATGATTGTGGGATCCAGCCCCATGTCAGGTGCCCTGCTCAGTGGGAAGTCTGCTGTTCCCTCTCCTTCTGCCTCAATCGTGCTCTTGCTTGCGTGCTCACTCACTCTCAAATCTTTTTAAAAAATCAAAAATTAAATTTGAAGCTAAAAAATATTTTAATCATTAATTTATTACATCTTCTTACTCATTTTTCCTTTGGCACATGACTGCCTTTGTCCCAAGAAAGGAGTGTCATATTGTCAGATTGTTTATCTGTTGCTAAATATAAGACAGACTGTAGCCTTGATTGTTAACTGGGAGCTGTATTTCGTTTTAGCCACTATAGCTGTTTCTACATGAAGGAGCCTACATGGAGAGAATCCTTGCTTGATGGGTTTTGTTTTCAGAATAACTGTGCATTGAGATATTTGGGAATTCTTGCCACATTTAGTGTTGTGTCTTACAGCGTCTGTTGCTTTTCATTCACTTGTTATTGCTAATGAATGTTAGCTAAAAAAATGATACTAATTCCTTTAGTTTTGAGAACTTTTGTTGGGCTTCAGTCTTCATCACTACAGTTTGGAGAATGTACTCTAGATAGAACATTCAGTTTTGGAAATTAATTTCTCTATGGAGTGGACAAGATTATGTCTCTTCAAATATGATTCTTAATGATTTTGTGTCAGGAAATAAATGAATTGACTCATTGATTGGTGTGGGCATTCGTGGAAGACCTAGTGGAACAGTATTCACATGTTGAAATAAGATGCCAGCCCCAACCCTGGGGTTTGTTCTCATCTTTGCTGCTAAGCTAGGAGAGGAATTTCTTTTTGGCAGGAATAAGTTCAAAATATACTTTCAGCAGCTCACCACCTACCCTCCACCCATATGTTCTGTTACTATGTTGTGTTTCTGGTGTCTCAGGTAGATGGTTTGGCTTCTGTGAGCCAGGTCACAAATGGGTTTCAGTTTATTACTATTTCATACCATTTGGTGCTAAAATATTTAGCATGAAGTCATTCCTCAGCATTTTTCCTTGAACTGTGTTTTTATAAAAACACTGGGTTTATGTTTCTGGAGCTGGGACAACAGCATTTCAGGAATATTGTCTTTTGTGGTCACATGCATATATCATTTCTTTTTTTTTCTTTTTTAAGATTTTATTTATTCATGAGATACACTGAGAGAGACAGAGACACAGGGAGAGGGAGAATCAGGCTCTCTACAGGGAGCCTAATGTGGGACTCGATCCCAGGACACAGGATCACGACCTGACCCAAAGGCAGATGCTCAACCACTGAGCTACCCAGGCGTCCCTCATGTATCATTTCTAAGACTGTGTCTATGATGTCCACCAGGCCCCTAAGTTCTCTATAGACTCATTAGAAATTCTTATGGAGACAGCAAATGAGTGTAGTTAACTGGTCATATGTTTTTAATGTGTCCTGTATAATTTTAACTAAGAATGCTGCAAGTTCCTTTTTTTTGATGCCTTATAACCTTTTAAATTCTGCTTTTTCTTAAACACACTGAACATTAGCTTTTGGTTAGAAGTAAAATCACAAAACAAATATTTGCTTTTGTTTAAGATACATAATTTCTGTTGTGTACAACAGATCATTTTGTTATTGCTATCTGTGAAAAGTTTTGGTATTAGTATTTTTTTCACTTGATATATTGAAAATCAGAGGCATATCACATATTTTATTCAAATTCATACTTCAGGCTTTTTGATGGTCTGCCTTTGTTTTGTTTTGTTTTGTTTTGTTTTTAAATCCAATGTGGGTTGGGATCCCTGGGTGGCGCAGCGGTTTGGCGCCTGCCTTTGGCCCAGGGCGCGATCCTGGAGATCCGGGATCGAATCCCACGTCGGGCTCCCAGTGCATGGAGCCTGCTTCTCCCTCTGCCTGTGTCTCTGCCTCTCTCTCTCTCTCTCTCTGTGACTATCATAAAAAAAAAAAAATAAAAAAAAAAATAAAAAAATTAAAAAAAAAAATTTAAAAAAAAAAAAATAAATAAATCCAATGTGGGGCTTGAAGTCATGACCTTGAGATCCAGACCTGAACTGAGATCAAGAGTCAACCATTTGACCAACTGTCTTTCCTTTTTTTTTTTTTTTTTTTGCCAAATCATTTGTTTTTTTTTTTTTTTATTCTTCTAAATAATGGTCATGGTTCCTACTTAAGGTTTGATGTGTATATAATAGCCATAAATATATAGAAATAGACTTTACTTCTGCAAAGAATTGTGCCTTCTTCCCTTTTTCTTAAGCCACTTTATCTTCTTGGTTTAGCTTTTGTTTTCACACTCTTTAGATTGAGATACAGGTACAAGAAATTTCCTTTGTTTCAACTCAAAACCAATGACATAAGGAGTGGTGACATGAGGTAATTGACAGTCTCAACGTTGAGAAGATAAAAAGAGATGGTGAAGTTGAGAGCTTGTTTTTATCTAAAGGGGATAGGTTTATGCAGCTCCAGACAAATTTTATCAGGTGGGAATTTAGGTTCAGTATAGCCAGGCCACCTGCCTTTTCCTGATTTTTATGTGAAAACTTAGGATTTTTTAAGTGTGGCTGCTAGTCCATGTGGGCTAATCCTCTGCAACCCAAACTAAATAATCCAGGGGAGTCCGTCCGTTGTGCCCGGAGGCTGCCAGTATACTATACTACTCTACTACTGGAGTTCCAGCAAGCACAGTAAAACCTTCATCCAGCATGGGCACTGGATTCTTCTTAGCGTGTTAGAAGGTCCCTAGTGCTAGCACAGGGCCAGGCAGGAGGTGCTCAGTGAGTGGAGAAGCTATGATGACTGTGTTGAACTTGTCGCCGGCCATGGGCTATGAGCCATGTGTTTCCCACCTAACCCCTTTTGTGTTGTCTGTGAGATAGGAGTGCTTGGCTGGAGCCACACGATGCCGCATTAGCTCTGGGGACTATCATGCTGGAAGCCTCTGCCCATGAAGTCCCCCCCCCCCCCAACCCTCTCCCAGCCAGAAGTCCACTCTCTCTGCTCATTTCCCATATCACACGTTGCCCCTTCTGAAATGTCATGCTTCTCCCATGAACTTTTGTTTTGCTTATCCTCCTAACTCCTGGCTCAGAGTGCCCTATGGCAAGAGCCATGTCTCACTCACTTTGGTGACCACAGAGTAGATGGAGATTCTGTAGTTTTCTACAATGTGGGTACCATTTTTATTCTTAAAAACCTGATGAGAGAGGTGCTATCATAGAATTGACAGTAGTCACATGGAAGCTCAGAATGCAGGCTCTTGGAAAATTGTGGATTTGAAAATTTTCTCCTCTTATAAAAGCAGTGAGAAAACTGACACAAATTGTCAAGATCAACTTTTTCTGAATTGGAAATGAGCGAGAAACTTGTAGTAGTCTAGGAAGTGTTCAAGAAAAGAAAATTGGAAACTTAGAACAGCAAATTTTCTTGACTGCTTCCTATAACCCTTCCAGTTCTGTGTTAGCCTTGAATATATCAACAGCTCACACAGTGAAACCAGAATCCTGGCAGTCACTAGAGGGAAAAAATGAGATTGGATTTTCATTCCCAGAAAATTGTCATTATTTAACCTGTCTGGTATTTCTTGGAAGACTTCATGGGCAAACTGTTTTTGTTTGGTCTGACTTGGAGTTCATTCAATGTGGAAAGCCTTTACTTTGGGACTTTTGTCAAAACAATAACAGACAGTTGATTACCTTTGTGGCTGTCAGAGCTGATGGACAGCAGTTGAGAAAATAGTAGGCTAACCAAAAAGCTTAAAAGGGAAAGCTGAGAAGGTGATGTCTTTGGGGGCTTGGGCTTTGAAAAGCCCTGATACTGTCCTAGGAATCTGAAAGCCAAGGCACGTGTAACCGGGGTGTGCACAAATTCAGAGAAGACCTAAGAATGCTGTAAACTCATGTGTTTGGCTAACCCTGAGATTCTGTGCACATAGGAAGTGAAGGCTAGTGTATAGTTGTCAACTGCCTTGCTGAGTGTTGAATGCATGCCTTTGGTGCACATAGCCCTTTGGTGATGACCAGAAGACTTAGTAGTTCTGGGCATTTGGGAAATCCCTATCCAATCATTAGCTCTAATTTAAGCAGAGATTTCAGAGGCCGTATATAACAAAGAATGTAGGCTTTTCAGAATTTGCCACTAAACAAAAAATAACAACAGTAAACCGACTGAAACAACAAACCTAGGGGGTTCAGATTTCCAGAGCTCCACATTATTTAAAATGTTCAGTTTTCAACAGAAGTTACAAGTTGTGCAAAGAAATAAGAAAAGTGCACAGGAAATAAAGCAAACAACAGAAGCTGTCTCTAAGAAAGCCCAGGCATTGGAACTACTAGATGAAGACTTAAAATCAGCTATTTTTATTATGTTCAAAGAACTAAAGGGAAGTAGGACAATGTCTCATCCAATAGACAATATTAGTAGAAGGCAATTATAAAATAACTAGGAATTATAGAGTAGAAAATTATACTATCAAAAACGTAGGCAGGATTTGAGCACAGAAGATAGAATCACTGACTTTGAAGATAAATCAATAGAGATTATCCAGTCTGAAGAATACAATGAATATGAAGACTGAAGAATCCCAGTGCCTAAGAGACCTGTGGGGCACCATCAAGCACACCAACATTGCATAACAGGAGTCCCAGAATGAGAGGGGAAAGGGAGAAAGGAATAAAGTATTTAAAGAAATAAGGGCTGGAGACTTCCCAGATTTGATGAAAGAGGTTAATTTACATGTGCAAGAGCTCCATGAACTGCAAGTAGGATAAATTCAAAAGAGTTACACATCACCAAGATCTTAGTGCAGTAAGCAGCACATCAGTTTCACAAAGAGTTCCACACCAGGACACATTGTAGGGCTTAGTGGGTAGAGCATGTAACTCTTGTTCTTGAGGTCCTGAGCTCAAGCCCCACACTGAGTGTAGAGATTACTTTAAAAACATAAACAATGTGAAAGGACACATTGTAATCAAACTTGAAATCTGAAGACACAGAACCTTGACAGCAGCAAGGGAGAAGCAATTCATCATGTACAAGGAACCTTTGATGAGATTAACAGTTGATTTCTCATTTAAAAACATGGAACCCAGAAGGTAGTGGGATGACATTGGAAATGTTAAAAGATTGTTACTTAGAATTGAATATCTAGAAAAACGAAGGAAAAAATGACCTTTTAAAATGAGCAAAAGCTAAAAAAATAAAAAATAAAAATAAATAAAAAAATAAAATGAGCAAAAGCTGAGATGGTTTGTTTCTATACTTCCTCTACAAGAAATGAAGGGAATCTTTCAGATTGAAATGAAAGGACATTAGGCAGTTAGTTGAATCTACATGAAGAAATAAGGAACACTGGTGAAGTAATTCTATAGGCATATATAAAAGGCAATCTAAGTGTATTTCTTATATGTTAGTCTGTTTTTCTGCTTTATGACTTAAAAGACAATTGCATAAAACAATGACTGTAAATCTCTGTTGATGCACATATAATATATAAAACCTTATTTGTAGATATAGCCATGCAATTGGAGAGGGGCAGGAAATGGTGCTACATAGGAGCAAAATTTTTGGATACTGTTGAAATTAGGCTGATATTAATTAAAACTAGGTTAATCCCCAAGGTAACCCTTAAGAACTCAAGAAATATGGTAGAAGAAATGACATTAGAAGGTATTTAATGCAAAAGAAGGCAGTAACAGAAAAATAGAGGGGAAATGCATATAAAAGAAATGAGTAGTAAGTTAACATATAAATCAATGCTTTATCATTAGTTGTGTGAAATGTATTAAGTGTACACTCCAATAAAAGGGCAGAGATTGGCAGCCCTGGTGGCTCAGCGGTTTAGCGCCGCCTTCGGCCTGGGGTGTGATCCTGGAGACCCAGGATCGAGTCCCATGTCGGGTTACCTGCATGGAGTCTGCTTCTCCCTCTGTCTGTGTCTCTCTACCTCTCTCTCTCTCTCTCTCTCTCTCTCTCTCTCTCTCTCTGTCATGAATAAATAAATAAAATCTTAAAAAAAAAGGCAGAGATTGCCAGAAGGGATAAACAATATCCAACTTTATACTGTCTACAAGAGACATACTTTAGATTCAAAGACTTAGATAAGTTAAAAGAATGGAAACAGGTATGCCATACAAACAGTAAGCAAAGGAAAGTTGGAACAGCAATGCTAATGCCAGACAAAGTAGACTGTAAGAAAGAATTACTAGAAACAAGGCTATTTTATGATGATAAGTCAATCCACGAAGAAGATCTAAAAATTATAAATGCATATGTACATAATAACAGTAACAAAATACACGAAGGGCTGACAGAACTGAGGGAAAAATAGTTCAGCAATAAGAGTTGGAGACTTCAAGAAATATACTCTTAAATTACAATTGTGTGACCAAAGCTTATTGCCTTTGGCCTTGAGTCAGTTGTTAAAGCCACTGTGTACAAGGGGATCAGGATCTACTTCATGAATGTATCAGAAAACTGACTGGATGCACAAGAAATGCTGATGCCTGATGGTGGCGAACATTTGTTCAGTGTCATCTCATCATTATCCCCATTTAACAGTGGAGGCAGGTGAGGGTTCTGTAGGCAGAGTGAGTTGTCGAAGCTACTAGATGGTAAAGGCAGGAGTCAGAGCTAGACCTGTAAACATCCTAGTACCTTTTTCTAACACCTGCCCAGTCCTACCTGGGATCATGCATCTGTTTTCCAGGCAACTGTGTCTGAGACGCTGGTCATCATATAAAGCCCCTCAGATGACCTTGGGCACACAAACATGGAAAGAGTACTATCTCTGCCGATCTGAGCTGGAGTTCCGAATGGAATCTGGGCGGCCAGAGAAGGACTTCATCTGCAAAGCCATTGCTGGGCACAATGGTATGGTGGGGAATGTCGTCCTGTGTGCTTTCCTACTGCTCACTTGCCCTGGTCGAGTGTCCTGGGATTTGGTGTTTAGCCAATGAGTGGGTAGGTGCTGCTTGATGAGTACATGCCCTGCTGGGTTCTGAATTCCTGCTGTGTCTCTTGGTGCTCGAGGTAATCTTGTGAAAAAGGAATTGTTATATTTATTTCAGGGTAGAAGAAACAGAAAGCAGGAGAGTAGGGAGCCAGCCGATTGTAGCTGGTGGGAGGGGCAGTCCTGGGTGTGAAGCCCTATGTCCACTACTGCCCCTAAGGAGCACCTGTGTGCTCTCCAGAGAGAAAGGAAGGATGTCCTGTCTGCCCTTCCCCAGTCTGCATATCCACATCCCAGGTATATGTGTGTGTGTTCACGGCCAGTCTGTGTTTTCTTCCAGGAGGTATAGATGAATTAGCCTACATCTCAACCAACGAGTGCCGGTTTGACGGGCAGGAGAAGTCAGTGGTGTGTACCGTGTCCTCGGACAGCACTGTGCGTGCCTGGGATGTGCAGGAGGTGAGCCAGGGGTGGGACCAAGGTGCAACGCACTGTATCTCAGTGAGGTCTATCCCCTTTGCTAGCTCATTCATCCCCTGTGGGCACCTTCTAGGTGGTGGGATCCCCATGGTATAGACGAGAACTCTGAGCTACAAGAGGCAGATCATACATGGAACTCGGGTCTGATTGCAGATGGAGCCTGATGTGCACTTGACTCTGTGCTGCCTGCCCAGGGAGGTGGACATTTGTGGCAGGTGGCAGCACCTTCTCCCAGTCCTGTGGTGTCCACGTTGGAGCTAGTGCCCAATCGGGTGGTTTTGCCCAAACGGTTGCCTCTTTTAGTTACCCCCTGTGCCTATTAAGTGTTGAGATTTTGATAACTCAGTTGGTATTTTACAGTTGGTTGTCACTTAGAGTTCAAAACCTTTGCAGTCCATTTTCTCATTTGGTACTCAAGCAGCTGAGCAAAGGATGCGTTATTAGCCTCCTGATTTTACAGATGATCAGTCTAAGATGGAGAGGGAAGTGTCTCTGAGTCTTGAACCGTGCAGTTGCCTGTAAATTCAGGGGTTCTGCACACATAGAACCCAACCTCCTAGAAAGGATTTTTTCCTAGAAAACTACCTCGTGATTTTGAAAGCCGTGGACAAGCGAAGGTACCCCTGGGTCCTTGCTACTTAAGTGAGGAGCCTGCTTATGTCCTTGTGAGCCAGGCCTACTGGAAGTGTCCAGTTCGTGCACAGAGAGCCAGTGGGGCTGCCTGGATTTCCCTGGCTCCTTTGAACAGGGTACCCTGGCTCCCAGCAAACAGACTTAGACCTGAGCTGCATCCCTGCATCCCCGACGACCTGTTAAGAGTCTGGGAGGGAGTTGGCATGTGCTGCGTTTGGTGATGCAGGGACACCTGAGAAGCCACGGGTGGTGACAAGTCTTGAGAGTCCTAGCTGGGCTCCCACCTGGGGCATGAGGGGCCCAGGAGCTGGGGCTGGGATGGGGCTTGGGATGGGGAGAGGGGTGCCACGTGGGAGCACTTCAGGGACAGTGCTTATACCTGCTCACTTACTGTTTGTTTTGCTTTTGAATCATGAAAGTAAAGCAGCGTTGATGGTTTTGAAAAGTAGGACAGAAGATATTTCATGAGTGCACACACTCCCCTGCCTGCTCTCCTCAGCAGCCCTTCCCAGGGAAGACCCCACTTTAAGTCCTGTCTGATTTCACTTTCCCTGGGGCCAGCCCTTAGGCCAGGAGACTGATCCTCCATGCACATACTTGAGGGTGTGTTGGTTGTCTGCCCACTTCACAGGAATGTCTTTATCTCCAGGAGCCCATTCATATCCACTCTGCTCTCTTGTTTAAAGGGTACAGAGTTTGCGTCATTTTTCTCTGCTCCATGGGCAAGTTTTCGGTTGTTGTTGATGGTTTCCTCCTCTTGTGCTTGGTCTTTCTTCCTACCAGGCAGTGTTGGAGGGTCATTTCACAGGAAGGCGCTGTAGTTGCTGGTGAGGGAGGCTACCGACCTCCCCGCAGCCTCTCTGAAGGACTGGCCTCGGCTGCGGACTGCTGTCCACGCAGGCTCAAGGTGTGGGTTTGGCAGGGGACGGCCTGGTGGCTGGGTGGCCAGGAGTTTCCCAGATGACCAGGTCACAACTTGGACCAGGAGAGCACTTGGGTACAGGCTCAGTGGATGTTTTCCGTCAAGGGCCCCATGGTCCTGCTGCACCTACTTGGCTCTGCTGGCGCCGTGCAGGAGCCAAAAGCCGTGTCCCAGCAGAGCCGGTGATGCTCGCTGACACGCGATGTGCACACATTTTCATGGCTTGTGAGATAGTCTTTGGATTTTTTTATTATTTATTTTTATTTTTATTTTTTCTGTGGATTTTTTTTAAACGAAAATACAGATATGGGCAGTGGGCTGGGTTTGGCTGACAGCTGTAGTTTGCTGAACATTACTTCAGCGTGGTTTGTTTTTCCAGCATGGGCTTCTTTTCACAGCCCAGAGCCGTCTGCACATACTCTTCATCAGCAGATCTGTAGAAGAAAACCCCCCTCCTCCTCCCTTCTCCACATAGAGCAGTCTTCCTGTCCCCAAATAATTCTCTGTTGTTGGTAGTATTATAATTGTGTAAGTGCTTATCACACTGAGTCATGAGGCAAACTGACATTTGACTTTTCCTGAGGTTAATAAAGGTTAATAAATAAATCCTTTTTAAAAAAAGATTTACTTATTAATTTTAGAGTGTGCATGTGAGGGACCAGGAGGGTTAGAGGGAGAGGGAATCTCAGATAGATCCTTGCTGAGTGTGAAGCCGGACACGGGGCTTGATCCCATGACCATGAGATCATGGCCTGAGCCGAAATCAAGAGCCAGAAGCTCAACTGACTGCACTATCCAGGCGCTCCAATAAATACTCCTTTTCAAAACGTTCTCAGTTTCCACATTCTCACAGTATTTAAGACCATGCTTCTGACTGGTTGTATTGGTTTCTGCTCTTTCTATGCCTTGCCTTACCCACCATCCCTGGAGAGTCCTAGGGTTTGAGTTTATTTCTGGCATCAGGGTCCTTCCTGCAGGCATGTTGCAGGGCAGTCGCTGGTCAACGTATGTCTGTGCACTGCCCCCTGACCTGCTTCCACTGTGAAACCAAAAGGGAGTCTCACACCTTCTTCATGAGCACTGGTGAATGTGCCATGCTCCCTGAGACTCCTGGCTGTCCCCCGGTGTCACCGATGCCGAGCTCCTTCCAGTGATGCTCACCTGGCTGTTCAAGCAACAGAAATCAAATAAGGAAGAGACTCATAGAGGAGTCCTGAGGTATCTCAGTTGGGAACGGACACAGATGATGGGAAATGAAGACGTGATAGAAGAAGGGTTATGACGACCCAGGATGGGAAAGGAGGCCCTAGTGGCAGCGCTAGGAGACTGGGAAGGGTACGTAGGGGTGGTTCTCTGCTGCCCAGGGCCCACGTGCACTGGCTGTCCCACCCCTTCCAGTTTTTACGGTCCTGAGAAAGCCCGAGGAGTTACCCAGCTCAGGCCTTGGCCGGGATGAACCACAGGAGGGGGCGTCTTTTGAGCAGGGCGGTGCAGACCTGCTATGTGAACCATTCACACCCGCATGCCTGAGTCAGCTAATCTGTGAGCCGGGGCTGCCCTGCTCTGCATGGAGGTTCTCTGAATGCAGCCGGGATAGCCCCAGCCCCCTGCCCAACCTTCCTCAGTGGGGCCGGGTAACTTCTGTGTGCATGCTGGGCCCCCCGCCCCCCAGTCCTGGTGGTGCCACTCACACACCCCCAGTTCAGTCACAGCTCTGCCCCGAAACACCACCTCTATGGCCTGCCATGGACTCACCACACTGGGGCCTGGGAGGGGAGGGGATGGTGCTGCTTCTGCCTGTGCAGCCCCTGTGGCCCCCACAGAAGTCCTTGTTTTCCTTCTGTTTTGCCCAGGGCACGGAGGTCTGGTCAAGCCCCCTGCAGCCTGCTGCTCTGGTGAACTTGGCAGCCTACCCTCGGCTGCAGCTGGTTGTCACTGTGGACAAGCGGGGCCTGATCAAAACGTGGAAAGCAGAGAACGGGAGGGAGTCGGCCTCCTTCTCTCTGCCCACGTCCTCGTCCGCGTTGCAGGCCTGTGACCACCCGGAGACCCCCTTTCTGCTGGTGAGTGAGTGGCTCTCGGGATCCTGTGCAGGTCCTGCTGACTCCGAGAGTCTCCCAGTGTCTCCCAGGACTCTCTGGGGCCCAGACCGCTGTGATAGCCCGTGCTCCATGTGGCAGATCGAGTGATCATTCTGCTCCTTGGTTCCCCATCTCCTCCTGTCCAGCTGCAGAGGGCGGAGACCCCCACCCCCCTCTAGCTCAGCTGCCCATAGAGGCTGCCCCCCTAGCCCCTGTCTCCACTTCTCCCCCAGCTGTCAGTGAGATGCCCATGGATCTTGCTCACGTGCCCTGGCTTACCTGTCCCCTGACCTCCTTGCAGCCTATCTTCTCCCTGCGGTTCAGTTCCTTCTCTCCTCTACATGCTTACCCCACTCCCCCTGTTTCACATCCCAGCTAAGGCCCAACTCAGGAGAAACTGAGGCACATTTGACAAAACCTGAGTGTTTCCCCAGGATTCCAAAAGCCTCTGTTACCAGAATGTCCATTTAGAAGTGACTCGGGCATGGGGAGGCTTTGGAGAGACGTGAATATTGAGGTGGCAGGTGCAGGAAGTGGCTCTCAGCTGGAGGCAGTGTCCCCACCTATGAGGTAGGAGGACTTGGAAGGGGTGGGCAGGGTGGCATCACTGATATCAAAAGGGGCAGATGTGCAGGAAGAGCTTCACGTGCACACAGAACCGGCAGGAAAGGAACTGAGCTTGGCAAACACGTAACATCTGATGAAACGGATTTCACGTAAGCCACACTGCAGTTGTTGAAGACTTTAGAGTAAGTGTAAGTGGCATCCCCAGATCAGTTTGAGAATCTGTTGCATAGATGAAGAGGCCACTGTGGTTCTCTCTGGCAGTGATAGGCCATGTGAGTCCCAGTTATTGGTCTGTGAAGGACAGTTAGAAAAGTTAGAATGCATCCATCTCCTGGATAACATCAGAGAACTAGAAAGAACAAGTGTCTAGCCCAAGATTCAGGAGATTTAGCAGAAGTCAGAGGGGAGCCCAACATGGGCTACTTTACCCTGGAGACACTTACCCCAGGGCAGCTGAGAGGCTTGCAGACCTTTGACCACCAAGGGGATTAGTTGTAGTGCTGGGCCCCTGAGGGCAAAGCCCTGTGCCTCCCCTTACACTGGGTGGGACATTGGGGTACAGCCCAGCACCCCAGCCACCTGGAGCAGTGACTCCTTCCTGGGGAAGGATAATGTACCTGAGTCTGCATGTTATTTCTGATCTGAAATGCAGTGTTCAGCACTCCCAACACTTAGAGCTAAGTCGGCATGTGAGAGATGTGATAGCAGCTAAAGTGGCAGGGTAAATCACAGATGAGGTCAGGAGAGCCACAGGAATTCAGGTACTGCAGTCATTACACGCTGAGACCCCTCTGGTTGCTATGTTTAGGGAGGTGGATTTCAGCAGAGATCAAAGCTGCAAAAAATGACGTAACACCTTTAGAAAAGAACCAAGTAGAAATTCCAGAATAGAAACACTTGAGTACAAAAGCGACTCGGTGGGTGGGTTTCATAGTAGGATGGATAGTGGAAGCACACTGAGATGGGGCAGAGGGGAGCTTGTGGTCCTCTGGCAACATCCCATCTCTTAACTTTGGTGGCGACGTGAGTATTGGCTTTATAATGATGCATTGAGTGTCGTGTTTGTGTTTCATGCACTTTTCTGTATGGTATTTTCTGCATCAATGAGAAAGTTAAGACAGAGGTTACCTGGAATGAAATAGAGATACTGAATGAAGTAAATGGAAGGAGAGGGTAGGAGATATAGACCAGTGCTTCTTAGGCTTTAATGACATGTGAACCGCTGGGGATGTTTAAATGCAGATTCCAGTTCGTTGGATCTCTGGGGATGCCTGGATTCTGACCTCTGTGTGTCTGTTTGTGAGCGAGCGAGCAGGCAAGTGCACGGGAGAGAGCAGGGAGTGGGGAGAGGGAGAGAGAATCTCAAGCAGACTCCCCACTGAGTGCAGAGCCCAGTACAGGGCTCGATCTCATGACCCTGAGATCATGACCTGAGCTGAAATCTAGAGTTGGACGCTTAACCCACTAAGCTACCCAGGCACCCCCTGAATTCTGACTTTTTAATGAGCATCTTGGTAGTATTGGTATTGCCAGTCTGCAGCCGACATTTTGAGTAGCAAGGCCATAGAGGATCCATGGAAAATTCTAGTACTTGGTATCAGGAGCAGGTGAGGGAGTGAGTAGGTCAAAAGAACATTTGAAGAGATAGTGGCAGATATTTCTTCAAAATAGATTAAGGACATTAATTCATGGAAATCAAGAAGGCCTACAAGTTCCAAGTGGACTAAAAATAAATGTGCACATGGGCCCATTAAAGTGAGCTGGGATTGTCTGAGGACCTAGAAAGCCTAACGGAGCAGCCAGAGGACGTAGTGGCAGCAGTGGGATCTCACAGATCAAGAATAGTATCCGGAAAGAAAGAACTACCAGCCAGGAATTCCGTAATAGAAGGTGTCCCCCAGGAATGAAGGGGGATAAAGGCATCTTGGTTAAAAATGAGGAATTAGCAATGGCCACACCACCACTAGGAGCAGGTGTGGGACTTGAAGCAGAAGGAAGATGAGCAGAGCTGGAATCCCAGGGTGGTGGGAGAATGTGATGAGCAGCACTGGTGAGGATGAGATCTGAGGGGATCAATAGTAAAACAGCAGGAACTACGTCTTGTGGGTTTAAAGTGACACGTAGAAAAACACAGGACATTAGCATTTATGTTAGAAGGTTATGAGGAACTAAATGCCCAAGATTTTGGGCATTTAGTCTGTACAGTTCACATGTTGATGGGCCATAATGTCTCTAAGCAAGGCTGCATGCAGCAACCTCTTATACAACTCAAGTGAAGAGCATGTAGCTTTTAAGTCCTAAGATAAACAGGGGTAGGATCAACCCTGACCCCAAATTTGGCTTGATAATCAAGAATATTGAAGCCACATGAGCTCCAAGGGGGTGTGTGTGTGTCACATAACAAGGCTTTCAGGACAGGGGCTTCCAGGAGGTGGGCCTGAACGGCTGGAGACAGCAAGAGGGAGTGACTGGCTTGCTCTTCCTGTGGTTGCGGTAGGGTGGAGGGAGGGCTCCTGGAGGGGCCGGGTTTCTGTGGTTTGAATTCTGCACGAGTGGCGTTTGTCTGCTTACCTGGATGTGGAACAGAGGGTGGGATGTGCAGGCCAAGAAGCTGTCAGCAAACATCAAAGATAGAGTCAGACTCCAGGAAGCTTCCTTTCTGGTGACTGTACTGTAATTCTGTCTTCAGGCTGATTGGTGACATGTGCACGCTTTATCTTCTTGAACCTGGACTTGTGTATGCCGGCCATGTGCGTGGTGCTCTGGGACTTGGCTGCATGCTAAGGCTGGCACATGAAGGGAAGTTCTCTAGTATGGCTTGTTCAGGAGCTCACTTTAAGATTTTATTTATTTATTCATGAGAGACAGAGGGAGAGAAAGAGGGAGAGACACAGGCAGAGGGAGAAGCAAGCTCCATGCAGGGAGCCCAACGTGGGACTCGATCCCAGGTCTCCAGGATCAGGCCCGGAACTGAAGGCGGCGCTAAACCGCCAAGCTACCTGGGCTGCCCCAACTGTTGTGTATTTGAGAAGTGGAGTGAGTGCCTGGTCAGTGTCGTATGTCTGGGTCTCCAAAGGGGATGAAGGTGTCTGATGTGTGCAGAGATGTGTGTGGTTGCCATTTATGCCTTGGGGTTTGTGGGAGGCAAGAGTTCCTGAGGTCTTTGCCTAGAGGGAAAATTGTGGATGAGAAGCTTTGTTTCAGGCCGCGTGGCTGCAGCACTGGCTATGGCCCGTGAGTGTAAATGTGCACCTGTGGCTGGTCCTTAGCTGGGCCTTCCAGAGCTAACCTAAGGTGACTGCCTGAAGCTTGGCCAGTTGTCCTGACTGTTGGGTCCACTCTTTATCAGGGATCTTCCAGGTAGTGGAGAGACCATGCAGTGTGGTGGCAGCTGTGCTACCTGGACAGTGTGGAAACTCCCTTTCCTGTTTACTCAGAGTGTGGCCTTCTCCAGTGTCCTTGCATGTGGCAGGGGTCTGAGGACAACAGGAAGCTACTTCCTCCCACAAAGGGAAGACCCAACACAGCTCACGCCTGCCTCCATCCTGACAATGCCATTTTTATTTCAGCAGGGAGGCTTCTTGGCCAGGCACAGCCCGCAAGGTGCCTCTCCACATCCCAAGGCAAAATGCCTACATGGGAAGTTGGAGACCCAGATGTGGCCGGCAGCCTTTACTCTACTGGACTGTTGTAGGACAGCAGGCTTTGTCCAGAAGCACTCATTCTCTTGGGGTTGCCCTGTAGGGAGATGGCGCAGGATCATCCCCTGCCAAGATTTGGCTCAGATTTGGAGATTGCTCACCCTGTACGTGCACGGGTAGGGAATGGAAAGGGTGTTCCCCAGTCCCCAAATTCACACCTACTCAGAGCCTCAGAATGTGATCTTATTTGGAAATGGTGTCCGGTTAAGGATCTCATGCAAAATCATTCTGGATTTAGGTTGGGCCCTCTGTCCAATGACTAGTGTCCTCCTAAGAGGAGGAGAGGACACAGAGTATGTCTCTGTCGTGTGATTCCATTTCTGGGAGATACAGTCCTGACAGAACAAATCTTCAGTGTCAGCAGACCAAGGTCCCCGGGATGGAGGCGGCTGCTGAGACACGGGGACTTCTGGGATACTGGAGATGTTCCAGAACTGGACTGTGCTTGTGAGATCTAGGAAGGCTGCCTTCCCTTACTTTTTATTTTTTTCAAGGTTTCCTTAGCTACTTTCATGTTTATTTTTCCACATGAACTATAGAATCAAATTTTCTGTCTCCTGGAAAGAAAATGGTATTTTCACTGATTTCAGGTTCAGTTTAAATACACACATGGAGAAATGGACATTTATTTATTTAAGATTTTATATATTCATGAGAGACATAGAGAAAGAGAGAGGGGCAGAGGCACAGGCAGGGGAAGAAGCAGGTTCTATG